ATGGTTTTCATCACATCGTAAGTTATTCAGGTAAGGAGGCGGGGCAATTGCCATTGGGGTGAGGTTATATTCCCTGGAAGATTCAATACTGTTCATCTTTTAGAGTGTACGGATATAATGATTTATCGCAACCGCATTGCAGACTTAACAACGGAACTAATACCAGCGGCCACCGTTGCCGATAATAATAATGATCATTCCGATGAACAACACCACCACTATTATACGGCAACAACAACGGGCCCGCATCACCAGCAACATTTTATACATAATGATTACACACCATCTGATATTTGTAAGTTCTAATTTCGAGAATCTTTAAAAACTTTACAGATAAATCCAATTAAAGGGTAGATAGGGAGAAAATTACCATAGAATTTCCTGGGTTATTCGGTCATCTCGCGTCACTCAGCACCAATAATACTTGTGGTACAAAAAAATGCTGATGGTTTAAAGTATATGTTTCATAATGTTTTGCTTCTTTCGTTAAAGGCATGTTTTATCTTAGTGGGAGATGCTAAAGAAATTGAACTGTGCTGTATTAGCTATCGTAACTATATAAGTGATAATGCAACTAAAGCTTTATTGATTTTATATTCCGCAAAATATGCCTTCAAAGTGGAAAAGCATTCAAATATATAATAGCAGTCTTTTATAATTTCCTACAATATTTACATACCTTGTTTGACTCTCATCCATGTAAGTATCTTAAAATAGGTTTCTGTTTCTGAAGGGCTTATGTATTTATGTTTTCTAGTTTTTTACACTGTTTTTAAAAATTTTCGGAATTATTTGCTTCAGGCATATCGGGTTTCGATATGATCCGATTGTTCATTTTTTATACTTAACGTAATATTTCCTCTTCTTTTAAGAAGTGTTGCCTTGTATTATTCTTATTCTAAGTCTTTTTTGACATGATTTTATTGTTGTTCACTATTGCATTTGGCAAAATAGTGCTTTTAGTTTTCAATTTAGTTTTCCTATACTACTCAGTTTTATTTAAAACTAGTTTTTTCAAAGACAGCTTAATCGGCTAATGGAATAAAGGAATAGACAAAAAAACTAACATCGACAACCTTGAAGTTAGTGGAATATCCGATATCCGCAAAGCAATTTCGCTACTATAGAAAACTTAGAACTATGGTCGATGATTCTTATGTAGCTGATATCATTATCTGTTCCATGAACAATATCGTATTTATGACGTTGCTAAGTTTAATAAGGTATCGCAAATTGATATGTTAACTAGTCGGTACTCGGAAAAAACCGTTATCCGAAATAAAATGTATATATACGTATACATATATGTATGAATTATTGCATGCGCAAGTTTTACTTTTTCGAGGGTAGCTATCTGGGTTATCAGTCAATTGGTGTGTTGCAAGAAGTAAGTATTATGGAATTCTTAGTGCTGAAAATGATAATGTTTACATTGCGGCTATCCTTTTTGTTGACAGTAATTTAGTAAATTTACGGCAACTAGTTCAGGTACTGAACCTTGAGGATCTTGAGCTCCTTTCATGGAGAATCACGATTATATTCATTGAATTCAACCATTTAGAGCGATGGAAGGTTCTCAAAATCTCAAAATGAGATTGTGATGTATTTAACGGTTTCACTTCATGTTATTATGCATTTCAGCTGTTAGATATGTAGGAATGATATTTGACCTTTTAGTAGATTTTTCTAGATATATGTAGCTGTCATAAATCGATGTAGTGATTGCAGTAGTTAGGGTAAATAACAGGGTTATAATTGAATGGATAACTACTGGGATAGTAAATTCATCACCATGGTGATAAGCAACATAGTGGTCTTTAATTTGGTTTGTATTAGTTGTCATTTTTTTAAATAATTAATTTGCACTTTTCTGGCTATTTTCCCAACTATTTTGGCTTCTGCACACCTGAATTATTGAATAAAAAGATACTTGATATCCCTTCTGTGCCTCATAGTATTATCACTTTTACCGGTTAATATCACTGTCATAAAGTATTGTGTATAACAGGAAAACTGAACTGGAACGAATTGAAATCGATTGCAATGTGTTAGGAATCTATTTTGCTATAACTTGCACTTTGAAATAATATTAGAAATGTTTTCGTTGAAAGAAGGGAAAGTGACATGAGAAAGCGTTAGTACTGAAAAGGTGGCAGCATGAGTTGGCTGGATATTGTTTAGGTTGATTTCCTTTAGAAAACAAATATTCTTATGACGGCTTGAGCTGAATTTGTGACCTCCTGAAAATATTATGATCTCTTCCATATGATCTCAAATTATTGACACGCTCTTTAATTCATCCGAAATATCTGTGATGCATGGAATATTCGGGCCATTTTTTTTCTGAGATCTATGTGAATTTTTTCATTTTTAAGCGCAGCAGATGCTGATGAATGCACGAAATGCAACAACATTGGCTGAAAAATTGCCCGGATTACAGGGACAAGGTTGTCAATTCATCAGTACTACTGGAACTAATCACAACGATGGGACAGGTGATTTTGAAACCGATTTAAATTAAATTTTACGTCTGGATAGTGTAACTTCATGTTTAAATATCATATATTTGATTTTGCAGAAACATATTAACGTTTTATCTTGTCAGTAACCACTACACAGGGTTTGAATGTTTGCATGCCCCATTTCGTAGACATCGCACAAAAGTGGTGCAGACACATTTTATGCATGTATTCTTGATTTTGGTAAATATTCAACTTACTTAATTACAGGAGCAATGAAATCATCGAAAATCAATTTCAGGATCTTATGTGATAGTGAATCAACAGTCTATTGGTACTTGTGATTATCTGGACAGCAGTTTAAGCAGTAATAGGAGCAGTATCGATAACGTGATACCATGCTCGAAAGCTACAAGTTCATTGGTAACTAGCCCAAAACAGCATGAGCCACAACGTGTAACCTGTGTATTCAGTGGTGTTACTACTAATGTAATGAACAGAGATATTAATGAGGATGGAGCAAGACTACAGCGGTTTTACACCAGCTCACGGAATGTCACTTCACAAGGTTTGCAACTGCTAAGAGATTTCTGCCTATTCTCTCGGTTTTTGAGCACTACTGCCGCCAATTGAGATCGATATCCTTTTGAGGAGGCCTTACTGAGTCGTCTTTGTTATAGTAAAGTAATCTTCGAATCTTATATTCTGTACTTGATTTTCACTAAAATTTAGTATATGGTATGTTATCGAAATATGTAACGAGTAAATTAGTTGAATATTAAATTTTTCAGTTTTTTGCGCTGAAAAGTTGAACGATGACATTGTTAAGCATTTATCGCGAATTATGGATCCTAGCTTGAAATAAGAGAGGCTTATGTTCTATAACAAGAGAATTAGAGACCGCTCATTATATTTTGATATCCTCAAAATTATTAAAAATTTGTTCTTCTGGGTTTTTTCTACATCCGTTTTCCGAGTGTTTTTCCCCGCAGTAATCTCTGCTTTAGTATTTAAATTCTTTTCTAAATACCCTTTTTTTATCTCAATGTCGAAAAGTTTTCTAAATACTTCCTTTCTTATTCAAATTAGAGATTTCAGGATTACGAAGTTCTCTTAAATTTTATGCTAACCCATTGATTTAGGAATTGATTTTTTTCTATGAGAGAGATGATATTAATTCCTCCGAATTTATTCAAGACGATGGGTGTTTTAACCAGAAATATAATTTTTGATGCTTTGTTCAGGTTTGTTAGAGGAGAGTAAGAAAGATTTTTTTTTCGGAGGTACTTGCTCATATCATTCCACTCTATTTTGTTGATAATTTGATTACACTTAATTCGCTCCCTTCGCGAAAGTAAGACATCCTAACACCCTGGAGCACCCGCATTATAAAATTAAAATTGGACTTATCTTTTGAAAATGTATAATCGTCATTTAATGACAATCTATACATACCGTTGTGATAACCTCCCTGTAATTTGCTTATTAAACGAAACAGTAATTTTTGACAAAGTCGATAGCTTTAAATGATGAAAAATCATTGAGCGAACAATGCAGAAAAAAATGAATAATGTATAAAAAAGTTACGGCAAGTGCAGCAGATAGCAAAGCTTGGCTAAAGAGCAGACACTATCGACGCTATGAGAGAATATATTCAATTCGGGTAGTTATAAGGAAAAGTCATCTAGTCTTTCTCTTTGTTCGCTTTCATATATTTTCGAAGAGATCTCATTATATTTGTATGATTTAAAAAAAATTTTATATCATAGCTAAAATTTTTATTCATCAGGTTTAAGCTTTGTTGAGTATATTTATTTTTATAGATTACGTAAATGGAAATGTCTATTTGTATTTCTTACTAAGACAATTGAATCTTTATTACTTCAGCAATATTCATACTATATCTTTACATATATCTGAAGCACTCTTGTTCATTATATATATATAATCACTGTTGGAGCAGTATACATCATCTGTTCGTGAAGGTGGCCCAGTAATTGACAATAAATTGGTACGGGCTTGATCGTAGTGTATAGGTCTTTCTTACCAGTTTATATATATTTTTTTATACAATTCAATTACCCTGCAGTCGCATCATGAGGATTAGAACCTTTTTACGTTAGATTTTACGATGACAGGAAGAAATTTTGTGTTGATGTTTGAAAATAATTTTTCACACATTTTATACAATTAATAAAGCATGTAAGCAAACAAGAATTTATAGCATGTTTGTTTTGTTTTCCAGGCTTTAAATCTCCCTTAATGCTTTAATTATGTTTCATCTTTATCACTTTGTTTTCTCAATTGTTAGAAAATTTCGACTTTGTAATTCCTTTATTTTGCTGACCTTCAAGTTTATTTCGTTAATTTGAAATTTTCATCTCACTATTATATACTCCAACTTCTTCCTCTCCTTCATGTCTTCGCTTTTTTTAACATATAAAAACTGAAATAGAGAAGAGGCAGAAAGAGAATATGAAATAAAGGCGCAGTCGCAGTCTAGAAGTAATAATAATACATAATTTTCAACGTTATTACTGTTGGATGATAACTGTTCATAAATTCGATAAATAGCTTAAGAAATTATGAAAAAAAATATATCACTATTCACCTTTTATCCTGAAACTCTTCAATTTGTCCAAATCAGTGGTTTGAAATTCGATATCGGAAATGATAAATTTTGCTTTCCATTTGTGTTCTATCCATCTCTCAACATATTTATGCCACTTTATCTGCAGGTTACATCTTTCTCTGCGATCCTTTTCTTGGGCGTAGTTAGTTTTTTTTTACTTGAATCTGAGCTCGAATGAAAGTGTATAATGATAAATTCAAATGTAGGACATAGATATATAATCCCAACCGTAGAGATTGGTATTATAAAGAGCTCTGGGTATGAACAGGTTTATCTGAACGAGACCAATTCTCTTTTATCATGGCATCATGCTATTCATTCATTGACAACTTCGACGATATTAGCCTACAGTTATTATTTTTCTTGCATCAATTTAAAAATATTCTGTCTAAAAGAATTTGTGTATTAATTCAGTCTTTCCGAAGACATTTTCTGAAGTTTTAGGAATTTATTTTCCACTTTTCAACAGAAGTCATCTAATATTTTTCACAAACATATATGATATTTTTAGGTACATTAGGAGCGAGTGATCCGGTAATAACGGGTCAGCGAACTTATTTGCTTGGCAGTACCAGTAACAATAGAAGCAGTAGCAATGGCAGTGGGAGGCAAATGGATACAATGAATATGCCAAAAAATTATGGTATCTCCTCAGGAAATAACTATCAACCGCAGCACCATTATGTTCCTATTCGATCATCATTCAGGTCGGTGCATGTTTTAATTTGCTATCTCACCATCGTGGAGTGAGCAGCAGGATATATTTTCAGAAGGATCAAGCAATCGAAAAATTAATGCTTTGATTCAAGTGTTCATGCTCTTGTTGACTAAAAAAATAAGTAACATAAATTAGATCCCATCCCACCATAATCAAATGTTATGATTGATGGTAAGTTCACTAAGTTTAAAAAAAAATAAAAAAAACTGTTTTTAACGTATAAGACTAATTCATTTTCGATATAGTCTTATAGTAATAAAGAAAATATAATAATTTGAAACAATTCTTGAATAATTAGTCGTATGGCAGTGCCAAAAAGGCTGAGCCGTAGCATCAATGAACTGAGAAGGTGGATTAGAGGTAATGCAAAGGAAAAAAAATTTTTTTTGTTTCGAACTCTTCGCTTCTGTTTTTTCGTTAAATGTTTTGATAAAATACAGCACTTCTGGTATTAGATGTCCCGTTCTCTACGTTTGTCATAACAATATTATTTACATTTTGATTTATATTTTTTTTGAGCTGACATCCATTACTTGCTCAGCTTTTAATTTTTCATGAATTTTCGTCTTTACGTTTTTGGTGAGATTGCTGATTTTCACCATTTCAATAGTTTGTTGCTACAACTTGAGTGTTTCAATAGAAATCAGTTTTAAGGTGATTCAAAACTTACTTTCGAAAAAGATTTATTTAAAGTCAATCCATTGATTTGAAGGAAGAAAAGAGGTTGCATGTCCATCGTTTTTCTAAAGCTTGAAGAATTGATACGTATAAGATGAGCCAGAAATAATCAAAGTTGTAAGGAAAAAAAACTTGTGATGTAATTTTTCTTCATGAAAGTACGGTATCTTTTGTTTTTAAGATCGCCAGGTACAACTGAACGAAAGTCAAATCGTTCATCGTCCAAAAAGGAACCAATGGATCCAAAAAATGTTGAAGAAGAAGTAGCTAGGTGTGTTATTACAATCTTTAGTTTTATTTCTTTCCACAAATTAAATTTGATAGGACTTTCATTGTCAAAGTGATTACTTTATCAGGGATGCTTTTTACAATTGTTTTTATTTTTACTTATCATGGCCAGGAATACCGATAGTGATGTGAGAAATATTACGAAAATTGTTTACATCAAAAAAATAAATTTCTTTCAGAAATGTTTCACAGATTCTGAGTGCATCACTGAATCAGAAGTTATCGTCATCAGGTTTGTCATCTAAGAATGTCACTTAAACAATACTTCATCAATAGATATTTGTCCTCTTTTATCTTCAAGTTTTGAGTAAATTATTATTTGAATCTTGTGAATTATTAGCTAATTAAATTTAGGAAGAAAAAAGTCTGCACTTTTTTATATTCAATAACGGCCATTTTAAGTTCAGCACAATTTTAGGTAATGACCATGGTTCATTACTGGAAATTTTACTGCACTTGAAATGGTTGTATTGAAGATAAAACTTAAACTATAGAAGAAAAAGTTCATAAATTGGATACCAGAAATATTGGAGAGTTTAGGGAAATTCAGTAAAATGAGAGGAAAGAAGGCGAGCTTTGAGAGAAAATGTCAATATTAATCAAGTAAAGTCAAGTAAAATGGTTATCTGTTTTTACGATTAGTAACAGATAAACATCTCACTTGACTTACATGGTTTTTTCACATTTCACTGTATATTCCATTCCAGACTCTACTGCGTTCGATGGAATTGCTTTATTTATGAGAAAACGTATTAATCAAATAGTTTTCATAATTTTGCTCGACATCTTTATAAGGACATTTCTTGTCTTTTCTATCTAAATTGCAACTGCAGGTTTTGCATCAACGGGTGGATCGAGTGCAAATGGGCAGTTGTCCAGCAGTAATTCTAGTACGTCAGCTCCTTCAACAGCAAAAAAATCATTTACTTGCGTTGATTGCCATAAAACTGTGAGCACTTCTCGCAATTTACAACGTCATCGGATGTCCTGCAAATTGGCGCAGGCATCGTCAAACCCTGGGAAATCGATGACAACTGGCGCTGGACAACTTCAGGCAACTGTTATCACCATGCCTTTAAATTCCACACAGGTTGATTTTTCTTAATTTTCCTGATGGAGAAAATCACTGGAGAAAGATCATGAAATGAATGTATGCAATAGATTATGTTAACTATGTGTCTATTTTAAGTAATAGTGATTCATAATGGTAACATTCTTGCAGAGACAACAGTCGAGAATATTAATGCGATATTGTTATTTAATATGGGAAATTAAATTATTAAAGGCAAAATTAATCTAAATCTATTTTAACCAACTTAGTCGTTGGGATGAGAACTCATATTTGATATTTTATGAACTTTTTAGTGGTTCACATTAGTTTTTGGAATTCTCTCCATTTAAGATTAATGGATTGTCAAATGCATATTCGGCTGGTCAAAGGAGCGTAGGTAGTGCAGCGAATTCCATCTCGTCATCGGGAATAATACCACCAACGTCGAATGTTCCCATATCCTATAATAATAATTTAACTACATCAGTTACTGATACCGTTGATGTATCATCAGTCAACAATCAACGAGCCACACAAATTTATAACACTCCATCAGAGATAACTGCTTCTGATGAAAGGTTTTGTTTTTCACCATTTCTTAGTTTCTTAGTTACAGATCCAAACTAACACATTGTGAAGGACGTAGTTGTTCCTTTCAGAAATTCGCTGGAGTACTAGGAGGAAATTCTTATTTACATTGCTATAGATTTATGCACAGAGATCGTTGACGATAATATTGTTTAAAACATTTTAAGATAGGCCTTGTGCACATGTGAGATTGATTGAGATAGCTATGAATATAATATGATTGGTGCTAAAGGTCCATTAACATTAATCTTTTTTACGATCAAAATTTCATGTCAAAAAAGAAAAATGTTTAGGTTGAGACCGGTATGTGAAGATTCATATCTGGACAAAGCAGTAGCAGAGATGACACGAAACGGTGATTTGAATACATTGACTGCTGGAAGGTATACTCTTTTATGCTATTCAAATTATGATGCGTAAATTACTTTAAACAAAATTTTAGCGCAAATAATGTTCAAGCTTGGCACCAAACATGAATTATAAATAAATTCTAGCAGTATTAATTGCAAAACGGCTAATCTAGAACATGCGATTTGCGAAATATCTGTGTTATTACAATACTTTATTTACATTATTTTTATTATTTGTTATTACAATACTTTACTTTATTAAAATTGCAATACTTTGTTAACAGTTCCATTGATTAAATTATTGATAAGCAGTAAAGAGTTCTTTGTTGAAGATCATGGATGATTTTGCACATTTTCGACAACTTTCATCAATTCAAACTGCTTTTTTTTTGAAAACTTCCAGAAAAAGATAATTAATGTTGAAAACATTTGACTTGAAAGAATTAAAGGATGGAATTTATTTGTTGGTTATTGAAGTGGTAGCGAATAGCAACAACAGATGGAATCCAAAAGTTTAGAGTAGGAAGGAAAATTGAGAAAAAAAAAGACTAATATCGGAGAAAAAGAGATGTTAATCTCTTTGTCTTTCAATGTCTTTCGTGTTAAGGTTCAGAATTTCGGTAAAAAGATTTGAAAATTCAAAAACAAGAAAGAACTATTCTTTGAAAACAAAAACATGGAAGGTGGTATTGTTTTTTGGAGAAATAGTTTTTCCGGAGCTGTTCTGTTCAAGTTTTTGATATATTTTCAAGAGAAGCTATTTAGGTTCAAAATGAGAGAAGGATATGGAAAATTGAAGCACGCTTCTGTTACTTAATATTGTTTCTGTATTCTATAAAATAGTTATAATCTCAAGTTTTTTCAATTTGGTTTTGTTTTGCAGTTTTATAGGAATATATTTTAGATTGGCTTCAAGCTTGTTGGATGAAGACGATCATACTTTTTCAACGATATCCTTGCCATCAGGTACAGCTGCAACGGATGATTCTCATCCGTTTCAGTCGCCTGTCCAAACATCTTCGAACAGTGAACCATTTAATCTCTCTATCTATACACAACAGTCAGCGCAAATCAAAAGACCGGTATATCATTTTCACAAGGTTTTTATGTATATTATCGATCTGTTGTTCATCAGTGGATCTTCCTGATTGTTGAAGTGAAGATAAGATACCTGAAATAGTCATCAATGTCAGTAAAGTGATTTTGTTTAGTTCAATTTACACTAATACATTTTTATAAATGGCAGTGATAGTTTTTTTTCCTCAGGGCGCTTCTATGCAATTATACCGATGCGAGTCATGCAACAAAACGGTTAGTTCGAGCAGAAGTTTAAAGAGACATCGTAGCACTTGCAAACAGTTCCAGCTTGAATATGGACAATTGAAACAAAAGTCAGCTGATAATATAAGTCCCACAGCAGATTCTAGAAGGTTAGACAATTCAATAGAAAAAATAATAAGTCTGTTTTCCCACGGGGAGGTTTGTAATATGTTTCCTGGTATGTTCAAAGCATGCAGACAGGGTGTTAACCTTCAATTTAAATCATTGGAAATGATTTAAATTCCAATAAATAATTATATTTTATTGATTTTGGCAAAAAGATTATGGTGTAGAAGTTGCACGCTCCTTCACTAAATTTTTAGTTGTATTGCAGCATCTTTTTAGTCATGCATATTCTTTTATGTTTTCGTGGAAATTTTTGTAATGGAAGCTTCTTTCTGCTTTCCTCTCTTAGCACCTTCAGTATAAAAATGTTTTTTGCATTGGCTTGCCAAAGGTTGGTGCATTAATCCATCTAATGGGAGAATTTAAAGAGAATGTTTGGATGTTTAGCATATAACATATGCATCCTTTATTGGCAAATGATATTATATGAATTTACAAGATGTGAAGCTGCCACGTTGATATTCTCTACTCGTTTTTTTCTTAATCTACTTTGTTAACTATTGAGTTTTGCGGTCAGCGCGAAGTTTGAATGCTCCTTTTTCTTTTAAAGTCACAATGAATAATATAATTAAACACTTTGATATGCAGGAATTATGCTTGCCGCTTTCAGTTTTTTTATGGTGCATTTCAGTAGTACTATTTCTTTTTTCAGTGAATCATTTCTGCTCAATTCATCGGTAACTGGATTACCACCTGTACAGGAACAGCTATTGCTGCAGCGACAGTCTCTTGCCTGTGTTGTTACCGAATTACCTGCCGTTAGTGGTGTTGTTTCGTCCACTTCCTGTAGTGCGCCGATTCAGTCAGAAGTTCAGGTCACTAGGTTTGTCGTTTGCACATCTTTTAGATTTCTTAGTTCGAATTTTTTTTTAAATTGCCTTTGTAAATGCATGATTAATTCCCAGCTTTTCCATTTTATCAAATATTTTTATCAAAAATTTGTACTGGTTTCTGTTGATAGCATAAACTTAAAAGAGTTTAAAAAAATGCTTATTGCTTAAATTCTATTTCTACCAGTTAATTTAATCTCTGAAAAAAAAGGTAAAGATCGTAGAATAGTTAATCAGCTTGACAGATTTCGATTTTTTTTTCATTGTTTTTGTTTGTTAAAGCTTTTGATATTTTCATACCAATAGAGAACTATGTGATATAGATTAATCGATTTCGCTTGTAATTCTAATTGGTTCAGTATGGAAAGTGGTGTAGTTCAGAATCGAACAAATAGTAATGGTACAGTAACGGTTGGCACATCGATCAGTATAAATGTTTGTGAGGACTGTAATCGAATTTTGTGTAGTGCGTCGAATCTGAAACGTCATCGCGCAACTTGCAAAGCGGCTTCCATGTTCAAGTAAGTTTTGCTAGTCATCAAATTCTCAATGCTTTTATCAAAAAGACCCGTTTTGCTTCGCAGTATTACCTATTTCAATTATTAATGATAAAATATATGAAATTGATCAGTAAGCTAGCGCGAAACGAACGTTATATACTTGCTTGATGGTTTAAGTGTTTTTGCCTTGAATCATCCCATTCAACCATTGTGCGTTGGCACAGTTTGTACTATGTTTCTTAAAATTTTAAAATCATGTGTTAGGAATTCTGTGATTTAATTTATGTCGTTGAGCAATCCTTTTTTGTAGACTTGGGAACGCCAAACTTCAAGATCGACATTTAGCCCCTGTTCTTGCTACTTCACTGAGCACTATAGTGGAACAACCGTTCAACAAGGAACATCCATATGAGAACAATCAAGTTGATGACCATGAACGTTCAATGCTTGATCGTTCATGTGCCACATCGCTTGGTGCAACGAAAGAAGCAATGCAACAAAATGTTCTTATAACTGCAGCAACCATCGATGCTGCCACATATTCCAATGCAACCCCTAATACAGCACATCAAAGATCGAGTAGTGATGCATCAGTTACTTATATCACATATGATACTGCTAATGTAGCGTCAGTACAACAACACCAACAGCAGATAACAGCAGGAGTGCAGCCAGCTTCGCAGCTGGAATCGTTGAAAGTTGGAGCTGCTAAGGCTAAGCCATGGGTGATTTTTCTATTGTAAAACTTTAGATTTACATCTGCATTTCTTGTATTTTTTGCTCCATGTGGAGTTTTTCTACATTTTTTATTAGTTTATTTTTTCTTGAAGTTTTCTTATTTAAATTTGCTAGTTGTACAATTGAATTTTATTTTTGAAGATAACTGTTGGTGAACATTTGCGAGCACGACATAATCAACGTGTCATCCAGCAGCGACAACAACAGCAACAACAGCAACAACAACAACAGCAAATAATAGAAATGCAGCGACAGCGTGAATCAGCTACATCTTATGTACCGGAAACATTGGGTACTTATGCGCAAGCAGTAACAGTGCCGATTTCTTATGCTGAAGACACTATTTCAGCCCGATTAAGGCAGCAACTTCCGAGCTCTGTGTTGACGTACAATGAGAATAGTGTCGATAGTGATGACCAGTCTTCCAATCAGTTAAACTTGAAGCATAAGTTAGTTGTTGAACCAAATCATAGCATTATTAGAATTTCAGAAGACTTTTTTTTCACCAAACGAATAATTCGAAGTAGTGAAAAGTGATGCGCCATTCGTAATTTAGGAATTATCTTTGTAGCATACATTTCCATTAGCTGAAATTGGACTAAAAAATTAATTAAATTTGGGCTGAAAAAAGTTAAAAGCTGAATCCTAAATCTTAAAAAAATAAAATTATATGTAATAATCAATGAGAATTTGTAAATATAATATGCTACATAAGTGCATTATATTCTTTATTATGTGCTTAAATATTATATATAAGCATATAATATACTTACGTAGTTGTTTGTAAAATGAAACACAGAAAGTCGCACATATTCTGTACCATGAACGACGTTTATTTTTCCCTCATATAACATGATTTGTGTTCGAGAGACTGTCGTCTTTGAGGGGATCCTTTTTAGTGCTGCAAGACAGCCGTCTTATTATACAACAAGGGTGCATTATGATGGTGGCAGTGGCATTATCACTTGTGATATTTACGATCAACAACAAGGAAGAAATAGTTTCAAAATGGAAGAACCGTCACTGAGGTAAGTTGAGGAATGAGCTTTAAACATTTGTGACTTTTGTGAAACAGACTGTAATTGTTGGAAACATCAGATTTGTTTTTAAGAGGAAGGATATTTTTTAACTAAAACACAAATTTCTTTTAGTGCTTTGATAATAAGTTACCGAAACGAGTAACATTGCAGTCCGCAAGATACATCTGCACGTTCCTCAGCTTCACCAATTCTAACAACTTCCACTACTCCAGCAAATTATTCCGATACGACACAAGCACAGTTACCAAAAAATGAGAAATGTGAAGCGCGGCCATTAGCAAGTATTATCACCACTGCACCACTCTCCACGTTTGTTATCACAATTACTGTTTGATTTCTAGCTAGACAGCTAGTTCGTTAATTTCGTAGATTTAGGAGATACACATGAGTTTATTTAATAACAAGTGTAATAGTTAAAATGGATACAATTTATTTGGAAGCTGAAAAAGAAGTTTAAACATAGCAAGTAGATTAGCGTGTCAAAGTTTGCGATTAGGAAATGAATTTTTGTGTCAAAAAGTATTATTTTTTTAAATTCAAGGTCATGCTCTGCAACTGATTCAAGTAAATCCCAACAGCAGCAGAGCACAAACTCTGCAGTGTTCACTACACCTGTGGTATGTGGCACCGTGCAACCGCAACAAACACCTCCATCAGCTTCATCAACAGCACCTTATCGGAACAGTGAAAATATGTCATCTGCTGCAACTGATAATTATCGTTATGAATGCCCTGAATGCCAGAAAACGTAAGCTCCATCCATCTGTATGCTGCGTCATGTGTTATGTCACTTGAACTTTTCACGTCTACATTGTATGTAAAGCAGCCTTGTTTAACATAATCATTATATGCGGGAAGCGATTTAAAATGGCAGTTTAAAATCACAGCGACTTGGGTATGTGTAGACGCATAATTATTCATTGTACATAATCAATCGCCCGAGCATGTGTTCAAGACAAAATATACAAGAGAATTTTAATTTACATTGCATGTTAGTGTCATAATGAGTTGCACTATTCTATATATCATTTGTAATATCCTGAATAAGAATTTCGTAAGACTTTTTATTTTGCATATTGTGGGTAATTCATGCGAATTCTGGCACCTAACCATTTGGCAGATGAACTTTTTTCGTTGGTCTCAACTGTATCGAGCATAGGATTGATTATATAGTTGAAATGAGCAACGTGCACCCCAATGAGTGCTTCTTTTTGTGTTTTCATTCGTACGAACTGTTTTTTCATAGCTCGAATTTTGAAGATGCGATTAGTCAATCGATTGATCGATCGGACAGTTGCTCGGTTGAGCGTGTTAGACGGGTTGTTGCCCAATCTGTGTAAAAATTTTGCTGCAGATCTTCGCACTTCATTTTCTGTGGTCGTGGTGTACTGTAGCCTTGCTGCTTTCCTCTACATTTTAAATTTCAATTGCTGAAATCTACTTTATTCTTAGAACCTTTCATTATGCATAAAATTGTATATTTAGGTTTAAGAAATTATGTAGAGCTATTATATATGTATCGACTAATTAAAGGTCAATTTCAGGCGTTAGAAATTGATAATAACAAAATGCATTAGGCAAAGTGATTTAACATTTAGTAGTCTCTACTTGGTCATGCCATTAGAATTTCAATCACTGTCCTAATCCTATCTTGTATGTCGATTTTTGAGGATATGAGTTACAACCAATACAGGCTGGAAAAGCCGCAATGCCTCAGATCGTTCCGCTATATGTTCTGTGTAGATTTATTAAGTTTGCTTGCATGCGTATTGATTCGATATATATCGTTAAGTTGCATTTCAGGTGAACATTCTGCGTTATATGTTAGTTTCAAGCATCTCATTTGTCGATTTTTCTATAGTTCAACGATCTATTGTTTTCAATCTTATATATCTGTCCCTTTAAATATCCAAACTGAGTTATAACTTTTTTGTTAAAGCAACTTTCTACTCTTTGTTATCTCACTTTTATTTGCTCATGCCTGAGTTTCGGTTTTGGGTATTGACTTTCTATTTTTCATATGTAGTTTTTTTTGTATGAAGAATAATTTTTTAATATTCTACAGTAAAGAATTTTTTGATTTCCATGTTAGAAAGTATTATCTGTCTTCTTCAGATAGTTAAAACTGGGTCTCCGTTAATTCATGTTTGTTTTTCAGTTATTCGTGTCGAAAAAACGTAAAAAGACATCGTATGGCGGTCCATAAATTAACACCTGAAGAAGTGGCCAAGATTGAGCCTGTAAGAGTACTACTTACAACTGATAGTGAACATAAGCAGCGACAGTTCCAACACCAACGACAACGACAGTTGCGGTTACTTCAAACTACTGAATTAAAGAGTCTCAAAAGGTATTAATTTTTCGTAAGATGATGTTTTATTTAGTTTGTTATTGATGGCAAATTTCTTTCACCCTGAATTTCAGTTTTTTGATCAGTGATTTGTTTGAAGATATGTTTTTCACATTTTTTTGTCATCGATTCCTTTTCCTTAATACTTTCTTTTTGCAACTTCTTCAGTTTTGAAGCAACATTATAATTCAACTTTTCCAGGGTAGTTGTGAAGATACGAAGTTTTCTCTTAATTTTGTTATAATGCCAGTTTTAACTGATTTTTAAATTGCGGAAAATTGAACACCATAAACAAATATGTCTTCCTAATTCAGCTGAATTTTTTTTGCAGTTCGAAACTGTCAAATGAAAAATCAGATATGCAGCAGCAACAACAGCATTCTTCTGACTTTGGAAATTGTGCAGCTCAGTTAGTGCCAAATGTTATGCTGTCACAGCAACTGCATCTTCAACTAGAACAGCAGCAGCAGCAGCAGCTTCATCAGCGTCAACTGCAACCGCAATTGCAGCTTCAGCAGACACAACTTCAGGAACAGCAACAAATATCAGGATCTGATCATTGTAAAGGTCCTGCAGTAGTAACATCAGTAACATCTGTAAGCACCAGTTGGACATCTTGCATTACATCTATGTCACTACCAACACCGCAAAATATTGGTGAATATCGGTTGAGCGAAGAAGAAGGTGCACAGCTGGCTGAAATTGAAGAGGATCTAAAGCGATCTGCAGAATACAAATTGGTAAATTTTCTGTTGCTTTCCGATCTCATGTCTGATATGATATTATACAATTTAGTGATTAAAAGATGAGATATTTTAATGCTTCAGTTCTGATTTTGATATCTTACTCTGTCACTGAATGATTGTTAGGTTTTAATCTCATTTTCTTATCTGGTTTTATTGAAAATATAGAGGAAATATAAAATATAAAACGTGGAAATATAAAAATATAAAACGTGCGTAGCTGATACTAATTGAAATATTCCAGACCGAAGCAGACAGTGAATCAGATAACAGAAGACCAGTAGCTGAATTAGCAGAAGCTGATACAACTTTTCATGAAGAATATGAAGATAGCACTGGGTAATTATATCATAATACTTCCTTAGGTTCCTGTTTCTAATTGTAGAACCTTATTTCTAAGCACAATTAAGCATAAGAATTCGTTGGCATTCCAACGAATTCTTATGCTTAATTGTGCTTAGATGTGTATTGTGACACTGAATGAATGAAAAATAAAGCTATATTTGAAGTTTTTGTGCTGCAGCATAATTGGAATGAAGTCAAACAATAGTAGGGATCCAATCATTTTTTTGTTTTATAGGCGATTACATCCATCACATCCACCATCGCTGTCATCGAATGGCGGAGTTGTTTCACCTCCGTCAAATCCTGCTTCAAACAGTTCCGTTTCATCAAATTATCCTATCACGAGTCCTGTGGTCAGTATTTTTATTTTCTCACATAAACTAATCGAAGCTATTTTGTAGGCAAAAATTTTATAAATTTTTTTGTTCGAATTTTTATAAAGAGCTCCATTTAAAGAGGAGTCAAAGATGAACTTATGGTAAAAGAATTCTATTCAAAAATTTGTATTTGTATTATAAATGTGACAAATATGATTCATTTTGCTTAATGCATAATTTTAATAGAATAGCTTATGGTTTGTAGTATTTACCAAAGTTTTTACTTTTTTCAGCTTAATTTTTAGGCTTCTCAGATATCTTCAGTTATATCGGAAAGTAGTGGTTTTGCGGCACAATTACCACCCATTAAAGCACCAATTCCTATGTCACCATCGAACTCTTCGCAGCAGATGGCGATGATACAAAATCGGAGAATGTACCATCAAACACAACCGCGCATTTCATCAAATGAGGGTTAGTTATGAAGATTTGCTTGTTTTGCCGCTTATTGCTCAAAAAAAAAGTTACAAAAAACTGAATTCATCTGAACTCCAGGTGTTAATTAGTTTATTTTTAGTGTCGAAATTCTTTATATTGACTGAAGACTACATTATCAAACTGTGCTTGATTAAACAGTCTTGCTTTTTAATGAAACTTGGAATTCATAAGGAATTTTCAATTCTCTTCTATTCCTAGCTCCAGATTAACCTCGGAAATCCACGTCTAATAATCGCTGGTGTAATTTATTAGCTCGTTCTTGCACTTGAAAGGTTTCCACTAATTTAATTGCGGTGAATTAGCCAATTTAATATTCGTTAATGAGTTTTATTAGGTCAAACGCTAAATCCAGTAAATCCAGTATCGATTGATGGTACTGCTGTATTCACAAAACCAGCAAACATTGTTCGTTGGCAATATCCTCCATCTACAAAGTCTCCCTCAGTACGAAATTATTTTCACTCATCAGTGAAGCAAAAACAACATATTTGTGTTGATTGTAATAGGTTGGTTTTTTAAATCTTCATACTTTCTAACTGTTTTAGATAGACAATTTTTGCTTTTCGAGAAGTTCCGTTTTCACATGAGCCAAGCATTTGATAGAAATGCTTTTGGCTAGAAAATAGCCATCTCGAGCATCACTATTGATGAATGAAATTTACAAGTTCAAGTTCACATTTTTCACTAGCTTCTCTGTCCTTGTCTTTCCATCCGTTCTAGGAATACTTTGTCAACATTATTTGTTCGTTTTCATAGTTTTGTTAGCAACAAATCAAAATATCAACACTGTCAATGTTTGCACTATAGTGTATCATTCCTCGTCCTTTGACGAAGAATTACCAATGCTCAGGTGGCTCAAAATGTCAGCAGAATAAATCTAGCTGTTATTTGCTGGTACAATTTAAATTATCATGTGACTAATTTAAGGGCGCTTTCATCCGATTATTCGCTTAAACGACATCGTTCGACGTGTGTTGAAGCGAAGGCTGCAGCTGCAGCAAAAGCAATGGATACCACTATTTCTGCTGCTGACATGCGCAATAATGAGTGGTGGAACTTTTACTTACTTTTACTTTTACTTATTGCGTAAATTTGCCTAGCTTCCGATACAAAAAAACCGTTTGATTAAAACATGTTTCAATTTCTATCCGTAATATCTTTTATTGAAACACGAAATATGGGTAATGTTTTTATCAGGAAAATTTTCAATAGCAATGTTTTCCATTATCTCTATGTCTATTGCAAATTAACAAAAACGGAAGATTCAGATCACTAATACAATTTTACCTATTGAGCACAAATTTTTCAGCATAAAAACACTGCCAGAGCATTATAGTGACTCCGGCAGTTCAAGATCTTCTACTTCTGTGCTTTCGAACGAACCAACAATGAAAGAACCTTCGGTAGTTTTTGCAGTTACTGCATATTCTTTTACATAGTACTCCTTAATAAAACAATTTACACTCTTCATATATTAGTAGGATGAAGTATCTCGTATATTTTTAAAATATTTCTGTTTAAAATGAATACTAATAGACAATGCTGTTTCAATTACTTCATTTTAAATGATGTTTTTTTAACATTTTTTTTTTCAAATGATAACATTTCATCATTTTCCAAAAAGTCTATTTGAAAAACTCGGATGTATTTTATTGTTCCAGTGTATAAACGCATCATCTTACGGACCGAGCGATTCAGACCTACGAGTGTCACAGCAGCTTACGCCAGTATCTGCAAGGGTTGCTTTCTTGCTTCTGCTGTTTACTTGTTTAAATTTTAAATCTCTGTGAATTCCTTAAACTATTTAAAATTCATAATTAAAAATTCATGATAAAATTCATAATCGTCTTTTAGAATACCGATATAACATTGCCTCAGACATATTCTTCCTATGACGAAGATGCAGATAATGGTGTGCTGTGTCGTGTTTGTGATTGTTGGTTACCTGGACAACGAGAATTTGATCGCCATTGTGATGAATTGCATCCAGTTGCTGCTGATCCAGATAGTACAACCGTACCCCAAACGTTAGTACTTATTTAACATTTTGCATAAGTCATACTCCATGAATTTCAGTAAAAACAGCATGCTCTGTCTATTATATATCATTTTTGTTCTTCAGATGTGAGACATATATCACATGAAAGTTTGAATCATTGCGAAAAAAAGAAGTAGGCTTCAGACCAATTAGAGTAGCTGAAATATTTTTTATCAGTTACAGGTTTGAACAGACATCGTTACCATCCGGATCAATAATGTTGAGCACAGCGATTTCACCGGAAGTGAATTTAAATCCCTCTGGTCCATATTCTGTTGCTACTATAAGCCGAAAGCGAGTATCTTCGGATCCCCTTGAATCCGGGAGCTATTTTAGCACTAAAAGCGGTCGGCATTTATGTCAGGTACCGAAGTAATTACTCTCTTTTGCATTTGAGAAATTATAGAAAATAATGCACATTTCAAAAAGGTGTAAATGATCAAGATAAAGGGCCAGATACTTTGGGTTCTTCAGTGTATAATTGTATAGTTCCAGACATGTGGGAAATATTATTCATCAGAATGGAATTTGGAAAGGCATCGGCGAGAAAGTTGTCCGTTGCATATGAAGCGATTAAAAAGTATTGCTGATGATAGGACAAGGTAATGAGCATTTATAAACTATATGATTATTTTAGAATTTGATGGTTGCAGTTGAACTAATAACTGTTAAAGATAATTTAGTTCAGATATTTGTGGTTAAACTTCATCAAACTATAGCGAAGTGCTGACTATTATTTGATGAAATCTGAAATGCGTTTTGATGTACTTTTCGTGGTACTAACCACAGTGATGAGTGATGCAATCGTCATTTCTTGTAGACAGTGATTTGATGTGGACGTGAAGTTTAAATATGCATGAAATGAGTGATAGAATGAATTTTATTACTGTTACTTCCTTGTATTTATTGTCTCTTCAGCTGTAGGCCAAAGAAGTTCAACTTTTTTAAATGAATTATCTAAATTGTTTATTCAAGGTTGGCAAAACTGGAACCAGTGGACTTGTTACAGTTTCAGACAACTGTAAATACCAGATGGGTGGATGACTGCGCTTTAATTGTCGGTGAATCTCGAATCGGTGTTCCAAGAACGGTAAATTTGCAGTTCTAGCAAAATTTATGTAAGAAATACCAATAAGATATCAACAAATGTCAAGGTGAAAGGGTAACTGACAAGAACCAGTATTGGTCAGTTTCGTATAGTGTGGAAGTATGGTGAGTTTGCATTGGAATAAAAAAAACGAAGGGAGATATAAAATCACAAAAATGTTATAATAACAGTTTTATATTGCCGAAAGGAGTTAGTGTTCTTGAATTCAAATATTTGATATTTTATTTTAGATGCTTTCAAGAGCTTCAACATACTTCTCATCTTTATTTCAATATTATGAAAGTCACAGCGATGTTCCATTGCCGGTCCCTGTTGATCCCATCGCATTTCACCAAGCTATAGAAGCATTTAAGGGTCGATTACAACTTGATGGTATTCCTTTAAATTTCTAGCAATTTCTTACACATTGTCAATTTTACACCTGTTATTTGATAATTACACCTATCGCTTTTTCGTAAAATCCGTAATTTTTTTCAAATTTTGATGTTAAAATGATTTTTTTTAGGCAAAAATATCGACTGTATATTATTTATGGCAGATAAGTTCAAAATTAAACCTCTTTATGATCGATGCGAACATTTTATCGCCGAGAAAGTAAGTTTAAATATGCATTTCCTCGTCACTTTTAAGTTTTCTATTCATATCGATGTCATTGTAAACATCCATTTCTCTATACTCTGTTCATTTTTTATAGATGCTTCCTCTCTCCGGATATTCTGGGGAGGGTGGTGATGGCATTTGAAATAAGAATGTTAACTGCGTCACTCGGAAGCCATATTTGTGCACAAGTCATGATTTTGCAGACTGTATTGGTCTTTTTTTGCAGACTGTATTGGCTTACTTGGTAGTTAGTTGTGTGATAGGTCATAGGTCAAGGGCGATTGCGAACTAGTTCCGTTTTTTAAATACTGTTAATGTTTGGATTACTTCAGTTGCCTTCATCATCAGTGATGCATGCGATCCGGCTAGCGGAACAGTATCGGATGAGTGAAATAAAACAAGCGCTATTCGATTCGATTTCTATAGATGTATTTCGTAGTCTCGCAGCTGATGAAGATTATCGGCAGATGGGTGCAGAACTGAAAGCTGAACTTTTGGAAAAGTGGGGTACTTTCTTATAAACGGGAGTTCCTGTTCCATTTTCATTTTTCTCTCAGGTTTGGCACCTTGTACAGTTACTTTATTGTCACTTTATAAAGTTGTATTGTCTGTAGAGATTTTTCCCATGTATTGATGATATTTTTGTACCATTGTGCAATTGCCTCAAGTTTTTTTAGATTTGAAAATCTATTTGAAAAACATTTTACATTCTGAGGTAACTTTAACTTGGAGGAAGCAGAATATGATTTTCGAATTGTGTGAACTTCGGAGTTTATTAATTAAAATTATAATCAAAATATTATGCAGTCATGCGTAGTCTGTGCTGTACAAATTTTTCTTTTTTGAACACAATCTTTTTATTATGCAATCTTCAGGATTTAAAAAAAAATGAGGTAGGTGTTTTGAACGTTGTCATTGTTGAACTTTTTCTTTAATCTGGTACATATAAGATAGAATGGAGTGATGCTCTATATGTTATTTTAGGCATTTTTGCAATTGGATTTGTCTTTTAATTGGTGGTACTAATCTTAAGCAGAGCAATTGCTGATGGGATTGTGGTTATCATGCAAAAATTATTTGGATTGAAATTTTCTTTTCAAAAATTAGCAACATATCAATATTCAAACTCAGCCAGTCGTTGATATTATTAATAGCAGTTTATTTATCATCACAACGTCGGTTAGAACTGGTTTCATTTATCATTAAGAAAGTTAGTGTAACGTGTGTATAGTCGCATATATTTGAGATTAATTTTTTAAATTTCATCAATTTGGGTTTTTCTCAAGGACCCAACATTTGGTGAAATATTATCCAACCATTCAAAGAAAAGTAATTGGATAAGTACGGGCGAAATGGATAAGAGAGAAAAGGAAAAGAGGTAAAAAAAAAAATAGGATCTCTTATTTTGCAAGCCTTTGGAAACATTTGAGTCTAAATTTCGTGTTCCAACCGTCTCTAAAATATGTTCTAAATATTTTGTTTATAGTTATTGTGCTGCTAGGATCTCGACTGAATTCTATAACGATCTCTTCGAAATAATTCAATCCATCCCTTCATCAGTAAACAGATCCTTTCATTATTTGATTTTCTTTGAAATTTTTTTGACCAGTTATTTTACCATGAGTAATATTATCTTCTGAATAGTCTACAGTCATGCGGTTTTTTCCGAACTACTTGTGAGCGAGCTTCTTTCTTCTGTGTTTGAGAGCACATTGGTTCAATAATCTTCGGAAAAAGTAAGAAGTCTTCATTTTTTTCTAATTAAAGTCTGCTTTTCAGAAAGAAAGGTAGTAGGGTTCATTCTATTCGGGTCGACGAGAAAAAATATCTGAAGAAGGCACCGTTGTTATTCGAAATCTTTCAGACTCAAATTTGACTTGTGTTTCATGTTTTCCACAAATGTTCTGAGTTCATTCCCATAGTTACAACATTTACTTTTCTCCTCTCACCAATAATCATTTTCGGCACTTATGACTGGAAAGTCTTTCAGCTTATCTGCAAGCATGTAAAACTGTTTCAAATAGAATTCTTAATTACAACTATTAAAGGTATTACATTTCAAAAACAAAGTTTTCCATTCCATCTTTGACATATGCACTCTTTTTCTACTTGTATATTATACTAAGCGTTTTTCATTTGCACTTTTTAAAGAGATGCTGATATAAAAACGAGCTTTATTTCTATCCATTTCTTTTTCGCATTTTCTATTTGTTTCGATTGTAAATTGTTTACTAGGCAGAGAAGGTTAGATTTTGAAAATGTCAGGAGTGCAGACCTCAAGCGGAATATCTTAACAGTAACCATTGCGTGATTCCTTAAATACTATGTAACTTATTTGTACAAATAATTTTTGTATTGTCGTCTTCATCAGAGTTCCTGGCTTTCTGATAGGTCTGCGTTAACATAAACAAAAGAGAATTAAAGTAACTTCAATTTTTCAGCGACTCGTCTCGTCTGAGAGAAAAAGCCTACAGCTATTTTCTGATCTTTAATTGAAGCTTCCTACACAGCAGTGTACTAGGTATCGCTTGATATATTACCAAGTATCATTGCTCCAACTGTGCTAGTAGGAAATGGCTGGATTTAAGGCTTCAAGCAAAGTCACGTTAATTATCAAGATCCGAATGAAAATTCACTATTTTTGAGCATTTTTTGCAGTCCTAAATATTCTTTCTTCATTCAGGTTTTAAAACGTGTTTTGTCAACTTCGCAAATTTTTAAAATCTCATTCTACATTTCAACAGTTTTCCTATTTTGATATTTCTTTTTCGTATTGCAAAAGTTCACTCCGATCGCGTGTTACTTGCAGTTTAACTTCCATTAATTTCTATTTATGGATTTAGACACTAACATGTATCAGTAACTGAATTCCAATTTGTTTGCAGCATAGCTTTGAAAGTCAGATGTTACTGCAGGAACCTAATGTCACAGTAGCTTGACGTTTTCATCTAACGTACCCATTTCATTTTTATCTCTCACGGGAAAATTATGTTCATTAGTTTATATCATTTTATATCACAGTGGTGACAATGTCCATAATTGTTCAGTTGCAACCTCAGTTCTTTAATCTTCAAAAACAAATCAAACCTGTTTTTATTGTTTTTCGTCATTTATCCACAAACTGTCTTAATTTATTTTCCTCTCATTTTCTTTTTGAATGATTCGTGAAACATTTCCTTTTAATACTGTTCTTACTATTTACTCTTTCGAATGTATCCTAAAAATTATGGATAGAGCGAAAACACGTCTCGTGCAAATATGGATATGTTTCTATTTTTCATCGTTTGCGTAATATATGTTCTAAAATGTATATTAGGTTGCTGTTTTCTATTTTTTATGTTGAACTTAATTCAATGTATCACTTGGAAGTAAAGATGTTTCGTGCTCTTAAGAAGTAACATTTTCATAATATTCGTATTCTGTGTTTTCAGAGGGTATATCTCAAAGACAGAACCGAACAAAGTTTCAACCATTTTAAACTGCGATTCATCGAAAAAATTCTGGAATACGTAAATAAGATATGGAAAATATTTTTAAAGCATCATTTTTTTAGAAAATTACAATTTGAATCACATACAAAGTGTTGCCTTCGATTGGTGTAAAACCATTGGCCAAAATTAGAAAGGTTCTTATGTGACAACAAAAAAGAAAGAATTTTGATTGCATTTAAATCGTACAAAATACATCTACGACATTCAAAATTTCCACGAAAAGATACTTAAATAAAATTCTCATACAGATTATAACTTTTCCAAACAATGAAAGGAGGAAATTAGAGGACAAACGTCGTGATCTTATATTTTTTTCAAACAAAAATACTTATTAAGCTTTAAAAAGCTAAGCCATGGATATCAATTTACATCGTTTAAACAAAACGATATGATAATATAGAAGCACTTGAATTAAAATTAATTTAATTACGAATCGAATTAATTAGTGCTATTTGATGAAAAACATAAATAAGTTTTAAGCTTATTGGGCGATAAGTTTATGCCAAATACACAATACTACGAAAAATTGATGGAAAAGAAAATCAAAAAGGAAATACAACACAATTATTTATTAATGGATTGAAATTTTAAAATAGAACGAAAATAGATCAAAAAAAAATGTCGAAAAATTTCTGCATAACTTTGAGATAATAAAATGCAGAAATTGATAAAAATGCCGAAGATATCTCAATTGTTTTCCATTAAAAAAATTTATAAAATATTGCAATGCAATATACAATTTCAACAGAATGTGATACTTTTCATCTATTTTATTCTTTTCTATTTTGTTATCATGAAAATCTAACTTATATCTTTAAAATTCACTTACTTTTAATGAGGAAACAAAGTTAATTAAAGTAAACAAAGCTAATTAGCATCAGTAAGTTTTGAATTCCTTTTTTTCTCCTTCTTTTCTCTTTTTTTTGTGCAAAAAATTAAAAACGGAAGCGTTTATCTGGAACGGTAATATCATCATAAATCATACGTTAGTCACTAAGATGACTGAATTAATCAATTGTTTAAGCTAAGACAAAATTCGCAATTACTTTTAACAAATAAGAACCATTTTTGCAAAAGGAATGCAACAGTAAATATCGTATGACCTTGAACCTTTGACAAAGATAATGCAACATAATATTGCATATGATATTTTATCATATAATTTTTGCTTTAAATAATTACAAAAATTATAGGAAAGTTTTTGTCATATGTTGTATCATATTTGTTCAAAGTTAAATTCTAGCAGATACGTTTTATCGATTGAAAAGTGAAAGTTAAACTTTTAGGATACTAAAAAAATTTTTTCACAGTATGATAAGGAATTACAACGGTGATTTATATTATCAAAGTCACCTCTTCTTTTGTATAAGTTTTTCGAAACTAAAGTATAACATTGTTTAATTAATATTTTTGATAATTATAAATGTTATTTTATCGATTAATCATATTTATTTCTTTTTGCATTAATGACCTGTATCCATTTCCTTCAAAATATTCCGTACTATTTCAAAGGACTGAAATTGACAGATATTGACCAAAAAAAAAAACGTAAAGTTAAATCCGTTTTGTGATGTTTAAAAACGGAAAGAAACCGAATTCCAAAACGAAATGATTCACACATAGTTGGTAATAAAATATTTTCTTATTAGTTATTCGTTTTCTTATTTGCATTGATTTAATGGATTTGATTTTTGGTTTTATTACATTTAGCAAAGATTGAGAGGTGAAATGGTCAGGAAAATCAAAGAATAAAAAAGTGAAGAAATAGAAAATGAAAAGATTAAAAATCAAAAAAGAAGAAAAGAACTTAAAAAAAGAAAGATTAAACAAAACTAGAAAATATAACTAAAGAAACTAAAGAAAAGAAAACGATTGTAATGATTGTATCTATCCGGATCCCTCTAAATTTTTTTCCGGATTCCTCTAAGAAAACAGTTGTACTGATTGTATCTATCCGGATCCTTCTAAATTTTTTTCCGAATCCCAAATTTTCTTTGTATTAATTTCCATTTTTTTTTGTATTTCATTTTTTTTGCTATGAATTCATTCTTTTCGAATAAATAACAAAATTCTATTCTCTTTCAGAAAAATCATTTAAAGACGAAAGTTTGCTTCTGGCTGTAACCAATAAACATTTGCAATGTTATTTCATCAATATGAATGAATGAATTCGATTATTGTAAATGTTTTCCTGAAATTATTGTTTTATCATATTAATTAATGGAAGTTCATTTGTAGGCTAAATGATCTTTCATAGCAATATGCTAAAATGTTTTTCAAAAAAGTTTTAAATTAACAACTGATAATTATTTCTTTTCAAGTAGATTTAGTAAGAGAAAATGACAATGCATTTTATATTCAATTTTATTTCAATTATTACTTCATTATTATCTTTGCTTATTATCTTTGTTAACAATTAACAATTATCACTTTATTTTTATTATATTATCTTTGTTATCACTGTTTTTATTATTAATATCATCTTTGTTTATCGTTTTCACTTTTCTTAAAAGTAAAATAAAATAAATGGAGTAAATAATAGATGGAAAGAAATTTAACAGAAGTATTTTTAAATGAATCAAAATTTCAATATCGCATAAATTTTATTAAATGATAAAAGTTTAAATGTATGATTGGAATGGTTAACGGCTTCTTAATTATTAAATTCATTGTGATCAAATGATTAATGCTTTCTACGAAAAAGAATTATTACATCGATCAATCTTTTGATACTACTTCTTCATCATCGTAATACATTGTAATATAAAGCATGCTATACAAAAATGAGCTGCCAACAATGCTACTGAAGAAAAGCAGTAAAAATCCAAAATTTAATAACAATAGCTTTAATAAAAGTGTATATATGAAAGTGTACACATATATATATATATATATATGTGACATCATTCTTTTATTAGCTTTTTTTGTTTTTAAATGAAAAATAAAAATATGACAAAATAAGTTTTAAAATGATTGTATTGGATGATAAAACAATTTCAACTTTGCTATACATCATGTATCTTTCGTCAATTATCATACCATAATATCGTACATCTATTAATGGATTATGATTATTTATTTTGATAATGGAAGGTGATATTAAAATTAAAGTATAAAAATGAATGAATGAGTAACGAAATCTTTGATGGATAATCCCATTGATAGATTATGATTATTTATCATGATAATGGAAGGAAATAATGGAATTCATTGTGGTTAATCATGAAAGTAGAATTTCATTGTGATTAATTTGAATTGAACCAAATAATCATATTTATGAATGATTCTAATTAATATAATAACATTTTTACAGGAATAAACAGAAATTAAAGTAATTTACTTCCGTTCAAGAATTTAATTTGTAACTTTTTATGTTCCATTAATATGCAAATACTTAATTGTTAATTATGTATGTATAGATATCATAAATTAATTTATTACATATATATATAAAGTTACAAATTAAATTGTTGAAATGAGAAAGTCATCAATTACATAAAAATTGTTGAATGAAATCATAAAATTTATTTGCTTAAATGCTTTAAAAAATTTATAGTCAGCCAATAAATATGGAAAATACCAACATTATTATGCTATTTATTATGATTCATTGCAATTTCTATTTTTAAAATAGCCACTTCCGATTTCATTGTGATAACATTAGTGAATCAAATTTTGGTCATTAATTTGCAAATTTTTCAATTATTTCCCATAACTGCAGTCATTGTATTATCTTCCTCAATTCAATTTTCAAATCACTTTTGATTAGCAATCATTAAATGTCTTCACGATCATTTTCCTTCATCAAAAGTCCCATTTCAATTTTGATTAGCTATCATTAGATGCCATCTTAATCATTTTCGTTCATTAAAAGTTCTCTTTTAAAATAGGTTAACTTAACCTAAGTTAAGTTAATCGTTTCATTTTGATTTCTTTCATTCATTCGTCAATTCGTTGAATGTAAAATTTCTCGTTAATAATTTATTTTCTTTAGATCTTTTTTTTCATTGCATAATTTTTAAATATTTTCCTTTCACAACATATTTTACATAAATTGAACTTTATACATAATCTTAATTTCAAAATTATAATTATACCATTTAATTAGAAATTGCAATTTAATTTAATTCTTATTTCATCTCTTACATTTATTGTTAATATCCAAGAAATGATAGTACTATGTATATGAAATTTCAATCTTAATTTCAATGACAGTGAATAGTTGCTAAATGCTATATCTATCATCATCTATTTGCAATCAAATTATATAATTTTGTTAAAAAAATTACGAAAATTTTTTTTCTTAAAAAGTTATATTCTAATCGATCGAATTTATTAGTATCATATTGTATTATCTTATGAATTCTCAATAGTATTCTCTGTAAAAATGCTCTCGGAAAAAGTGATTACAAGCCTGAAATAAGTTTGAGCAATAGAATGAATAATAAAACTTTGTTAAATGTCAACATTGTTATCAGCGATTGGCATACATTTTAACATAAAATTGATAGCCTTCTATTGTTAAGCAATATTTATTGATATTAGAAAGATGGATGAATACTCACATTCATTCATTCATTTCTTTTATTCTCATCATATCTTTCTATATATCTGCTACAAAACTTCAATTCAATCTTCAACATTGTGGTAATTTCAACATTTTATTTTTATTCCAATTAACTATTTCGTTATTATTCCAATAAGAAATTTGATTATGCTTATTATAATATTTATTAGCAATAAATTTTATATGATTCCATTTGAAAGTAAACATTGAAATTATTGTATAACATTTTTGAAGATATCATAAGAGCGAATAGCTACTCGCATATTTACTTTAATTCAAACTTTTTTCTCTTTTATACTCAAAATTTAAATTCAAATTAAATTTCAGTTTAATTTTTCCTAATCAAACAAAAACATATAGCAGATATATCGAAATGATATAAAACATAAAGTAGATATCAATCATGTAGAAACTCGACGAGAATAAGAACAATTTTACCTAACTTCATTATACGCTTTTATCTAAGTCTAAGTGTAAGCAGCCAATCTTTTTTCATAAATTCATTTTCTAGAATTTATAAATTATGTGGTCGATAATATCCGTCAAATATTGCCATTATCATTTATGTCTAATTGTTGCAATCATTTCATATTCTAACGTTGTACATTGCAGCTTTGAAAAAAGTAAGTCATTAATATTTATCAATAAAGATTAATTTGTTTCGGATATTTTATTTCTTAGTGAAATTAATTATTGTTAATACTTCATATGATCGAATGATAAATGATAATATCTCTTCGACCTGCTGTTGTTTGAAGTTTTGATAATATATACCCGTTACGATTCTATGCAATTTAATTACAATCATTTCTTAAAATGATAAATTGATAGATTATTCAGGTTAAATCTTATGAAATCGTTAAAATATAAACCTCAGGCTAATTAATTTCTATTAATTAATATTAATAATAATAATTAATATTAATAATTAATTTATCGGAACAACAATATTTAAATTTATTGTTGTTTATTTTTGTGAAATTACGTAATAGTTAATATCAGTAATAATTAATATTAATAATAATAATAATTGATATTAATAATTAATTTATCGGAAGGTATCGAATCCGAACAATGCCCAAAAGAAACAATAGAACGAACTTTTATGAACAACAATTATTCATATGGTGTAATTGATATTTTCTATGATTTTGCACAAAATCTATGCCAGAAAATGCAAAGAGAAGTTGATGATATTCATTTACAGGTTTTTTTAAATTATAAAATTTAAATATTTAAATGAAGCATATTTGAAAAAAATAGATAATAGTTTAAAAAAAGATAAAATAATCAATGAAATACAGTATGCAATAAAATTTACAACAATAATAACAACCTAAAAATCGTTGTAATTTCTTTATTTTCAAACTTCAAATTTAAGCAAATAAGAATTTAGGCACCGTTTTATTTTCTTCTCCATTTTTTTTTACTACTTTTAATACAACAACTTCTCGGCTATCATATTTCAAATAATGATATTCAAATATTTAATGATTAAAGAAAAAGATATATCAGAACGATCATCATCTCTCATAAATTTTATCTTTTCTTTAACAGAAAATTTCGTATTTTACCTGTCAAAAATAAAAATTTCGAAATATTTTGCAAAAACAAGCAAAAACTTTGAAAGTATTTTAATTGTTGAAGATAAAATTATTAAGAAAAGTTTTGTTTAGCAAATACTAATAAACATAACGACTACGCAAATAACTGGCGATACGATAAAAGCCACCTTTCGATTTTGGCTAAAACAGGTAAAAAAAAATCAATAACTATCCATTAATTTAAATTTATGCATAAATTCAAAATGAAATTTACTCTTTGAATTTAATTAAAAACTTTTCAGTTTTTTTACACTGTCACTATTATATAAAGGTAATAAAGAAATTTGATTTTTTTTATCCACAATAGATTGATAAAATGCAATTTTAGCTTTTCATTAATGTATTTCACATTGAGTTATCTTTTTGGATAACACTTCAGTTGATAATCTATCATTATAGTGCTATCAAAAAGAAATACTTCACTTAGATTTGATTTCTTTCACTGATAGAATAATTTATAGTATATTAAAAATATAAAATATACTATAATAATTATAGTATATTAAGAATATACTATAAATTATTCTACCAGTGAAAGGTTCAAGTCAATGTTATATAAAATAAATTTCTGGATGAAAATAAAGTATATAATATAAAATAAAATATTTTCAGTTTTGGGTGCATTTATTGCTAATAATTGCTTTCGCATTTATATTCTTCCTACCTATAAATGGTCTCCTTTACTTCTGCAAACAATGCTGTTGTAAGCGTGGCAAAGTAAAGCGTAGAAAGGTTTGTTAAATTTGCAAATTAATCCTTCAAATAAAATTTTGCATATATATCATGCCATATTGCAATATTAAATATTTCATAAATTTAAATTTCAACACCTAAATTTTTGCTAACAACATAATTTATTAATAATTTATTAATATAAATAAAGTAAAATTAAGATTTTTTTTAACACTAACTCATTAAATTTAGGCTAATTGAAAATTTTAGAAAATAATAAAATTAAAATTTTTAAATTAATTCGAAATTTTAGACTAAATCATTTGAAATACTCTCTTGTGGTTATTTGATATTATTAATTGCAATGCAAGCTGTTATGATAGGGTTATTAATAGTAAGCTTAAAAAGTACCCATTATATATTTAACAATGCAAACAATATCAACAAACTCGTCCAAAATATTAGCAAAGGTAATTTGTTTAATTGGAATAATTTAATGCTAGCATGAAATTTTTGCACATCAAAATTTTCATTAAAATAATGATAATAATTAATAATTATTAATAACAATTAATAATAAATGAATTAATTAATTATTATAATTATCTTACTTTTCTAATAGTTAAAGAATGAATATTTCATTGCAATAATTCCAATATGTCGATGCGTTCTTAAAATTTAATGATATCAAATTTAATGTATCGTTCGTTACAGTTAAATTACTTCTTAGAAATCTTTTCCAATTAATTCCTGCCTTTTTTCAGATGCTACAAATGGAATAGAAATTATATTTAATAATATGAAATGTGAGGTAGAAATGAAATTGCCGAAATTATTCGGTAAAATGAAATATCTTTTATGGCAATTGCCAACCAATGCATTTAATCATTATAAAGAAACTGGCGGATACATAAATATGCAATCGGTTTGGTTTGTCTTACTAATTTAATTTAATTTTAATGTCAAGAAAATTTTTGCAAACATTTTAGGAAAAGATTAATGATAACATTTTTCAATATTTTCCAATTCAATTTTTTCATTTAAAATTTGAAAATAAATGTGTTATGCGTGTTCTCTTGTTAATCAGATTTTAAAGTTTGAAATGTTAAGCTTATCATTTATAATTTAATATTTTATGAATTGAAAAGGAAGCAATAAAAGAAACCGAAAGGAAATATTACAAAAACCTATTTAATGCACACATTAATTAAGTTAATTAAAAATTAAGTTAGTTAGTTGATTAATTTTAAACAGATTACGTAAATGTAAGAAAGCAGAATTTATTCTCAATAAATCGAAATTTAAATTTAAAATGTAAAATTTGAAGGCAATCAATAATTTGGCGAATGCAAATTTGGCATTAAATAAAATTCTTATATCGTCGGAAAAAATTGTTCATAATATCCATCGTTTACCATCATTTTTGCAAATAAAAATGGCAAATTTAACAATGATGATTAATGATGTTATCAATTATATTTATCAAATAAATAAGGTTAGTTATCATCTGTCTACAAAATTTCGTTATCATAACTTCATTGACTTATACTAATTACATTTGTCGTAAATGTCATTTTATTGTTTGGATGAATTAATTTTACTATATTAGCTAAAGCATTCTTCATCATTCGATCCTTTTAGGCTTCGAATTAGTATTTCGACAACTGCTTGAAGCCTAAATTCATTTAATATTATGCTAATTAATTATTGATCATATTCAGCATTACAACAATGTGGACAAAATGAATGATACATGGAATAAGCTTGATGATTTATCGTTTAGCTCCAACGAAATTGTATGAATCATTTTTTTTCTCTTTTCTCCTCTAATTATTATCATAAAATTTTCATTGAAAATTATAACGAATGATAATGATAATTGCTAATTCTTAGTAATTGATAACGCATTGAATTACTTTATCAACTTCCTTACTTCTTTATACCTAAAAAAAATATTTGATAATTATTTTAGCAAAATATTTTCGATGAAATTAACGCATTAATCGATGATACTGAAAAACAAACGATGAAAACATTTGAAACAATTTACAATGAAAGTATTAATGGTATTAAATTCATCCGAAAGAGTAATCGGACAATGAATAATTTTTATAAAAATTATATCGAAGTAAAGAAATTACTTTATAAATAATTGATAAAAATTAATTTTTAGTTCTAGAAAATAACAAATAATAAACAAAAAAATTAAATTGCTCTACTGTTTTAATACTTAAATATCTTTTGACAGTTTTAATTGTTTCTTGAATTTTCACCTATTTCATTTAGTTAATAAAAATACTGCAAATAATTAGTAAAAATTAATGATACTTTCAATTTTCTGCTCAATTATAAAATTTATTTCAGTCGCAAGAATTTGTTGAAACCAAAAATATCTTATATCTTCTGATACTTATACCTGTTTTCACTATTATTATTCCAATCATTATTGTTGTATTTTGCGGAATGGTAAAGCTATTTACAAAGTAAATTTTTCATTTTCTCTTTTCGTAAACCATTTTAGCATTTAGGATTAAATCCTAAAAACTTTTAGTAATCATTGAAAAATATTATAATTTAATTTAACCAATTAAAGTAGTATAAAAATTATTCTTATTATCAAATCATAAATATTATACTTTTCGGCTGTAAAAATTTCTCGAATACTATTAGAAGTATTACATTAGGCTAATTTGAATATATAAATTTATTGAATGTGAATTTACTGATTCATTTGAGGAAAAGAAATGTTTTTGGCAGCTGCAAAGATTTCTCAATTTAAATCGAAACATATCTCTATCATCGTAATTTCAAAGCATGAAATAATTTTCTGTTTTTCTTTTTAAATAGGAAAAAATGGAAATAGTAAAGGATGAGAACTAAATGATTGCAAATATCAAAGTGACCTCTTTTAATTGCAAAGACTTCTAAAGCTTACTTAAATTTTAAAATTCATTAATAAATTTTAAATTCAGGTTGTTTAAATTTTAGATTAATATTTATATGTTTTAAACTTTGCTTCTTATTTCAATCAATTATCACAAATTTCAGTGATAAATCTTCAGAAGTCTTCAATTGTGGTCGTTATTTCGGTCTATTTGCTCTTGCAGGAGCATTCTTTACTGGATGGATCGTAATGCTTATCGCCAGGTTAATTTGTTTTAAACAAAACTTTTAAATCTTACAATACTTCTTCCTACGACCTATTTCATTTATAAAATTTTTCTTTTATAAACATTACTGTTACTTCCTTCATTTATTATTAATTATGACCTTTCTTACCTATTGTTTATCTAATTGTCCAGCAGGTAATATTTTCTTATAGCATCAAGTATAATTCTTTTTTATACTTTTTTAAAAAAGAAATGTATAAACGATAGCCATTGAAATTTTTCATCAATTAATCTATCAATTGATTTTAAATTTTGATAAATTTAATTTATTGATAATTGCTAATTTAATTTGCAAAAGTATCATTAAGGTATCTCATAATTATTACTACTATTAATATATTTTATATCAGATCTATCATTTCAAAAAGAAAGAAAATTTATTGAATATTTTATTCTTTTAGTTTAAGTTTTATTGTTGGATACAGTGTAGAAGCATTTTTCAATCCATTATTTCACGATTCTGAAATGCTCATCTCCAAATCATTACCATTATTTCAATTTCAATTCAATATACAAATTCCTATTGATAATGAAACTTTCACGATAGATATCGGGTAATCATCATATTTAGAATATCTATTATTAAATATTTTTAAAATTTAACAAATAGTTTTTATCTTTAAATGTTGCGTTAAATTAACTCTTTCAGTAATTCATTTTTCAATGATAATTAATGCATTAAATATTGAACTAACAATTTTAAATACAATTTAGTTATTAAAAATTCAATAAAATTAGTTATTAAAAATAAAATAACTTCTTAGTATCAAAGATTGCGATTTTTAAATTTATTTTAAATTAATAACTTTTTTGAAATCTAAAATTTTACACTTTTCAATAAAATATAAAAGATGTGAATTAATTTCAGTAATATTATAAAACGATGCAAAAACAATGAAACAATTCTTTCGGTATTAGAAGTTGAAAGATTAATTAATGCCAATTCAATTATGAAGAAAATGAATATTGAAGAAAAACGAGAAAGAACAATTGATACAATCAAAATGCAATATTTTCCGGAACAGTTTTTTAATCAATTTACGGTTTGCTAATTTTTAATTTTCATGTTAATCTCTTTTAACTCCTAAAATATATCTTGCAAAATTGAAGAAGTATGAAAATGAATAAAAATGATTGTTAACTTAATAAATTGATGATTTTAATTTATTTTTATTAAATTTGCAACTGAAATTATTTTCATGATCAAAAGCAAAGAAATTGAAAATAATTAAAAAATAATTAAATAATTAAATTATCGCATTTTTTGAATATAATTAAATAATTGAAATTAATCGCATTTTTTTTTGAATTCTTTATGAATTCTATAAATATTATTAAATAATAAAATGAAAAATATCATTTTAGTTTAATTTTCAGGAAGATTTTGAAGAATTGAAAGAGATGAATATTGAATTATATAATTTTATCATTTCGAATAATATTGCAGAATTGAATAAATCATTACGTGATAATTTTAATAATATGAATAATGATGTATCAGAATTGGTCGAAATTATAAAGTTAGTTGCAATTTTAAATCTTACCGACCAGCAGATGATAAACTGAAATTTTATTGAAAAATGTAATAAATAAGTTGTTATTAAATTTATCGATTGATTATTTTATTAATGATATTTTACCTCTTATTTCATTATATATCAGAATTCATTTCCAGAAAATTTTGCAAAAAAACTATATGACCTGGTGTAAAATTTTGAAAGTTTTCATAGATCAAAGTTCACCATCCAGAAAATTCTGCAGAAAAATTGTATAATCTGGTATAAAATTTTTGAAAGTGTTATATATATAAAGAATTAAATAATCTTTTAATAAATCCATCGAAATATTCCTTTGTTAAATTATTTACAAATACATTTTAGATTATTTCACTAATATTATTTTTTGTGATTGTTTTAACTAATCAATAATTTTTAACTTAATTATATGCTAATTTCTTGATTGTAAATTCTAAAAGAAACAAAAAAATTAAAACGATATCAATTCATTTCTGCGACAAATAATGGAAATTAGATGCGTAATTTCTTATTTTTATTTTTTAATAAATGAAATTTCTTAATTTCAGTAATACCACTAACATTACTGAGCAAATAATTGAACAATATTTGTATTCCACTGAAATGTTTAATGAAAGTGCTCAAATAATTATAAATGAATCAGACTATACAATTGCTAATATCAGGAAATATATTGACGACAATGTTGTAAGCAAATTTAATCATACAAATTAATATTGTTGTTTTATTTATAAATGGAACAAGCAAAAGAAATGAATTTAATTTGATTAAGATGAAGATAGATTAGTAAACAATAAATAGATAAGACAAATATGCAAAATAATCAAAGTGATATAAAGATACATTTAAAGATATATCGAATAAATGAAGAAAAGTAAATAAATAATAAAAACCAAAGTATAAATGAATAAATAAACCAAAATTTTTGAAATTTTACAGGATTATTTTCAAAAAAATTCATATGATTGTCGTCTACTATATAATATTTGGGAAGATGGAAGTTTAGCGATAAGCCAAAAAATCAGTCGACCAATTCAAGGCCATTGGATATCAACTGGTCTACTGGCACTTTCTTTTATTCCAGCTATTATTCTTATAATGCTTATTATCAAATTTCTTGCAACACCGAACAGAAAATATGATCTAAATAAAGTAAGCATTTTCTTCTTATTTTGAAATTTTAAGTGGATTAATTTTTTGAGTATTAATTACCTTTTTTTCTTTTGTTATTGCTAATAATCCATATGATGTTTATTTAATTTATTTATTGTTTATTTATTTATTTATCTTTCGATCAATAATTGCCAAAAAAAAACAGAACGAACATGTTCAATTATACGAGAACTTAATCTTTATCATATTTTGTCTATCTAAAAATTTTAAAATTTATTTTTGCCTATTGAGATTTACTTTGATGTCGCTATGAAATAGCTTTGTCCATTTTATAAACAGCTTAGCTTATTAAATTGAATATGTTCGTTTATTAAATCTCACGAAGAAAAAAAAGCATAATCTTATCTTTAAGTATTATATTTTATTATTTGATATCAAAATTTTATTAACATAGGAAATTTTTACTCTAATACGATTAGATAACATTAACAATCATTAATGATGAAAGATATAGATTATTGATTTTTGGAAGAAATTTTTTGATTTATTTTTTTCTTTTAACTAAAAGATAGTATTTCTATCTGATGGTAATACAAATTTTTGTTGAGAAATTTCATCTCTTCATCATATTAATCTGCAGCAATCAAGAATTGATACATTCTACGGTGCTATTTACGCTTACGAAGAAAGCCCGAAAAGTTCCACATTTACGTTAGCTTCTACACTTTCAAATCGAAGTACTATCAATAATAAGATATGGTGCAAATTATTTGGACAAAAACTGATCGCTCCAATGAACAACGAACCGATGATACATCCCAATATTCATGCTTATGATATAAAATAGATTGAAGTGTGGTTAATTGTTCGAATAAAACTTTTTGAAAGCGAAGTTTGAATTTCGAACCCATGCAACAGTTTATATTATCCCAACCAAATACTTTTTTTTGAAGTGTTTTGTTTGAATCATTATTTTTGTGTGAATAGCTGTTATATACTATGCCCGGAAATCACGTTTTTCATGCTTTGGTTTCTTGTTCGTCCTTAACTCTCAAAAAATTCAGAAAGAGAAATTGGTTTTTTCATCTTTATCGATAGCTTTTATCCAGTTTTAAAAAATTACTTTTTATTACCAATAATGGAATAGTAACCATTTTATCATAGGAGAAAATTTATGAGCAAGAGATAAAGGATATCTGAACTGCAGTCCATTATTTGTCCATACTGTTGAATATTCATGTAACTGTGATCATGTATCATCAACATCCTCTGCGGTACCTGAGTTCAGTTAAGATCATTATACTTTTGTTTGCATATTGTAATGTACTTTAGTATGAATAGCTGTTGCAATGATTCGAATTAGACAAACCCTGCACTATTAGAATCCTGTTAGCTGAGAGACTTGGTCGGTCATTTCCTTCATTCGAAATATTTCTTCGCATCACATTGTAAGCTCATTGTAAGCTTTAAATACGCTATGCATTCCAAATTTGTTGAACAGTTATATTTCGAATTCGATGCAAATATTCTGTGATATTTTTGTGTAATCAGTCCTAGTGTTTTTGTTTTAAGTTTCAAAAGACTCATCCACTGCTACAAATTCCGAACAGCATAAATGTCAGTTTCTCAAATGTATTTCAATAATAACTGGCTGTGTATTGCGTTCCGACAAATCTAAACTGAATTTCATTTTTATAAATTAAATTAAAAAATCTTCATTTCTGGAACACAAAACAGAATGCTCTTCGGTCAATTAAAATTAAATATAAGAACTTGCGGACCGCGGAGGAATGTAATCGCCTTTGTGTCAAATATTAATTTTATTCAGAAATATTTAACAATAGAACAGAAAGGTCAATTTTTCCAATTTAGCACAGAGAAAACAAAGGCATTTTGCGGAAGCGATCGAATCCGAGTCTTTCAGAATACATTACCACTTGCAATGACGTTCCTCATAATTCCCATATTTTGTTGAATCCATTCCAAACAAAGTTGTTTAGTTTTAAATTTATAGTATTAGGGAACTTATAAATTATTAACGTGTTTCGCAAACACTCCAAAAAGATATATGTGGTATATAATATAAGGCTTCAATCTACATAGATGATAGCTCAAGCCGAAAGGAGGTAGAACATCGATCAAGCTCTATGCTAAATGTTCTTGGAAAGACTGAACACCGGATTAACTTTGCTAATTACTGTGGTCAAAGGTTATTAAAATGTTTCCGTGCAATCCAAGAACTTTGAGGGAGTACTTGCGAAGCAAAAATCTAGCAAACCATAAATTAAGAAAAACTTAAGGTTCCATCAAATGATTTTATAAATTATAAGTTTAAGACATTTATAAACTTCATTGCGTTACTACTACCAAATTTACGAAATAAATTTTTAGGGAACTGAACTGCATAATCGCTAAGAAAACGATGCAAGGAGAACTCAATGTGAAGCAATGTAATCTTAAAAACTGAATTTCTGAATTTAGTGATTATCCGTTTCAGCGCTGCCTTCGGCGTCTCCCAGCACGACGCGGTCGATCCCCGTTTAACGGATTCCTATCTGGTGGACGATAGGATGCTTGTTGTGATGCTGTAGCCGGAGCACCGTAACCAAGAGATACCGAACAAGTACACCCACCATCATCTGGTCCTCCTCGATTATAACAGCCCAAATCATCGTACTCATGTCTTTCCTGTCTGCAATCAAGACTCTCTTACCAGTACTAGGAACAAAAATGAAAAAATCAAAAACTAATGATTAAGATGCGACAATTTCCGTGTTACTAAAGTGCAATCGCATTATAGGCATTGGTTTTTCCCGGCTTTATTTCATAACAAAATCAGTATTGAACAGTAGAGTCATCTTCTTCATCATGACCATTTGAAAACTGCTATTCATTGAGACTTTAGTTTTTCATTCTTGATTCAAACAATTAGCACGCAACGTCGTGTTTCTCATTCTCCTCGAAATGTGCAAAATATTTATATTTTATTATGCTTAAATTCTGAAATCTATCACTTCCTTCCTTCGCAAAAGCATAAGTTTGAAAATTAATTAGAAGGAATGTACCCATTTTTAGTCTGTTTTAATGGATTTTTGTTCATTGGTGGTCCGAGTGTTGTCATTAAACGATATTGTACCATATGACTGTTGGCTTTCATATGCTTCAGGTGATTACTCTGGAAAAGAATGTCGTAATCACACAATGTACTATTTACAATTATTAAAATCAGTACCGTCTGATCCTCACAACAATAAATAAAAATCACAGATATTCCAAATCTTTTCCCAGATTCGATGTTCTACTTCACTCTTACTGTGATCAACTATTAGAGAGAAATTGTTGAACGGATTAGTTTATTCAAATTTTTTAAAAATTTTTGGATCAAAATTCCTCCATTTATTTGATATTTTATAACATAAATGAGATAAACAAACGGAAAAAAGGAATCAGCACCGAACAAGTAGCCCACTGCGTAATATCATAGACAACACCATCCAAACATGCATAATAGATCCAAATAAACCCACCGAAACGAGTTTCTGCCCAAATATCATTCTTAAATATAATACTCTATAAAAGTAGCAAATGCATATCAATAACTAGAATTACAAGATAACACAGAAAGCTATAACATTTTTTTTGATGAATGCACTTAACCACAACATATATTATACTCAAAAAGATCCACAATGCTAACCATTAAAATCACTTGCTTTTTTTGCCCATAAATTGCCTGTTTAAGAATATATTAATGAACAGATAAAGAATACCATACATGTTTAGCGGGATGACGAAGTTTGCACTTCTTACAGTAACGGGCTTCTGAAGCTCGAATACTTTCTATTGGTATACGTATGTGTGTATCACCACAATCGCAGCACATCGCATTCCGTGCCGTGTTCATCTTTTCACGCAAGCGCTCCCATAATTCGTCCATTTCTTTGTGCTGCAAAGGAATGAAAATTTTTAAAAAGCAATTCCAAGAACAGAACATTCAATTGCAAGCCCAGTAAGAGTTTCCAAATTCTATTTCTTTTCTCTGCTCAAGTCAAACGCGCACTTCAGAAGAACAACTTTTTATATGGCTATATTGCTTAATGGAACAGTTAGCGAAAAATTGTTCTCTTACTAAAAAAAGAAATATCATGGAAAATAATTCAAAAACAATAATACATCTCTACCAGCGGATTTTTATGTAAATTGGCAATATTGTATTTATTCCGAACATCAGGTGTACCAATCGCATCAAAAGCCTTTGAAAGAATTTTGAACGCTTCATCTGCTCCACTTAAGCGGTTCTACAAAATTATCGATCAAATTATTTCTAATACAGAAACAGAACTTTCCAGTCAAAATTATAGAAATGTACACTGAATTTGTAAATTTGACATATTTCTACGAAATAAAATATGAGAATGAGAAGTGAAACCTTATCAGGATGCACCAGAATAGCTTGTTTTTTATAATATCGCTTAATATCATCATCCTTACAGTCAGCCTTTAAACCTAGTACCATATATGCATCACGTCCACGACATCTCAAAATTCGTTCCATTGCTTCTTCTCCTAAACTGATTATCAATATGTAAGGAGAAAATGTAGAGAGAAGATTTCAGAAAAAACTTTCCAACTATGTCACACTTTCAAGAAAACATAATTCGGCGCCCTTTTGTCCCAAAGTCAAAAAAGTTATGCGGTTGAACAAAACATACGAAATTAAGGGTATGCTAAAAAAAAATATGAAAACGGTAACTGTTGGAAAGTAATTGCGATTTCATTAGAAAGTGAAGTGAAGTCGCAATTAATAAAAACTGCAGTCTGAAGTTCACCTGTTATCGGTAATTGAATATTTTCATTCAGACCCCATTCAACAACCTTTTCCCGATTCATCCACACTCTCCTTACATTGAACAATCGAATATTTTCCCAGCATTTCCTGTTTGAAAAATCAAATAATATGAATTAGTGTGAAACCAATAAAAGCTTTGAATTTACAAATTTGCATTAGAATTTAAACATATAAAATACCTAATTATTTATTTGAAAGATTTCTATGCCCTGTATTGTTTTTTTAAGGGCTATCTATCAAGGCAAAATCTGAAACGAAGCTGTGAATTTAAAACCGGTCCTTTATGAATTCATAGGTAAGGTCATCACTGGTAATTAAGGGAATGCAAGGAATCTAAGCTAATAATAGTGAAATGAAAACAACAAAGCTATGCGTAAAAATTACCTCTGCGCATCTAATGTGGAATACCAGCATCGTTGGCAGTTGAAGACAATACTAGTGTAACCAGCCACAATTCTTGAATATGAATTTTAAATTAATGCTAATTTATATAAAAATTCACCAGAAAAACATTAACAGCTAAGCGTAATTTTTCAAATGAATGAGATTGCTTTTCATTCACCTTTTGCACCTTTTCCTACACCCTTTTTTCTTTTGCAAGGTGCGTACTTTTATGAAGTGTTTTTAATCGACTGCAGCAAACTAATCACCGTTAAGCAACTTCAGTTCTTTTAAATATAAGTGTTCAATTCAAAAAATTCTCCAGTCTTAAACTATCACAAATTTTAAATTGGCAACCTTCATAAAATGTTTCTCAATAGTTGTTATGTGACGAATCCAATTTTCTGCTATCTCTTCAAATTATAAAAAATTTGAAGCATTAAATAATGGTGAGATCAACTAGAAATTCTTTTTGCGAATTAAGGGTCAGACTTTTTATTAATAAATTATTACGTACGTATACACGGTGATATCCCATAGCTGCAACAATATATCCCACAAAAGATTCATAATCCACTGAACAGAATGCTTAATGATGGAAAATATAAGAGCAACCATAATATCTAAAATACTGTGAATAAATGATGTGAATCGTAAGTAAAATCATGGAGAGAGTAAGGCATTCAACGTAAATTAAAAATGCAGAATAGACGTGAGTGATAAAATTCAAAACATACTTATGTAGTCTGCTACGCTATTTTGGCGTTTCTTTATGGAATTACGTTGTTTTCGACCGCATCTTGCAGAATCAGTCGATGCTTGCGCGCTCAACTCACGACGAGCACCAATCATTTTTTTGAATACTGTGGAAAAATCCATCATTTAAATCTTTTCATAAGAAGTTAGAAAATGCATCCTGCAGAACAACTTAAAGATTTACTACCACAAATTTATCTTGTGAGGAGACTCTGTACATACCAAAATTACAACTCTTAAAGTGAATTTAATTACAATAGGTGAAGCGGCACAGAAAATCACGAATCAATTTTTAAAATGTGAAAGAATGCTTATATAGATACCAATGACTACTTCGCACAATCCGTACGTAGCTTCTTCGAAAAGAGTCGAGAGCACAAATTTTCCATAAACGAAGATACTCAGAATATAATTTATCGACATTGGTTTGTGCAAAGTAATCATTGCTATATAAGAAATATAACTAGCTTTTCTGTACTTTCTACAAATAAATATTAGGTATTACGGATAATGTAATGTAAAAGAAATACAGTTAAAGAAATCAGTACAGATTCAAACAGAATCAAAAAAAAAGAAAAAAGATCTAAAACAAAAGTAAAAAACAACTTACAATTACGTTGAGTTGAAGAGAAGCTTGGAGGCTTGATTCCATTTTGATTAAAATCCTTGGTTTTATCCACAATTAGTGAATCACCAATTCCGCTAGTCTTTTCTATGCTTTCTGCAAACAAACATTAGGTATATGGGTAAGCGTAATACGACCCATTTTTCCAATGATTGGCCCAAGTTACTCGTTCACCCATACCTCTGCTAAAAATTGTTTGAGAAAGAAACGAGAACTAGCTGATAATAATGTTGCTCAATTAAGAGGATCTGCCATTTTGAATTCCAATCACTGGAAATAAAAGTTAAAAACCTGATCTATAATTTTTAATAAATGTCGAGAAGACCATGCTAATTATTACTCTAGTTTTTGTCAATTTCTTCGGCAGAGAAAAATGATTAAATGTGTAGTCATCATTTTCCTCGTGAAATCGGAAAAAGCAAGGACCATAATTAAAACCAATTAAGCCACATTAAAAGTTATGCTTACTATTGTAGAAAAATGAAAATAACAATGCAAAAAAACACACCCAATGAAACATCACCAATTTTCGGTTTCGATGAAGCTACATCCACTGATGATTCGTGATGAGCAACCACTGAGGATAGCGATCGACGCCTAACGCGACGTAGAACTGTATTTGTTACCTGCGTTCCGAGAGATTGCAAAACATCAAAACGACTGGAAGCATCTAAGGCTTGATTACCGGCCAGCCCTATAACGAACACAAAATGGCTGATATATACCTTTTTTTATATAGTCGTCTAACAACCATAAATGGCTCCTCCAGAAACACTCAAAGTGATTCGTATTAGATTAATACGAAATTTCGCCTAATGTCCAATCCATTATTCAAAAAAAAAAAACATTCCTGTGTTTTAGGATACAGACACGGTGTATTGGGACTTGAAATAAGGCTTCGCACTCGAATTAAATCACTTTCAGACAATTATTAATGGTAAACTGAGTCGAAGATTACATTAGTAATGCATAATATCATGCGATCATGAAGGACTCACCATCTTCATCAGTGATCAATTGATCATTTTTGTTGCCCTTGATACCTTTGCTTTTCTTATGAGTGATTTTCTGGAATTCATAATCTTTCTTCTTTCCATTACCACAACCTGTTAATAGATTTAAATTATTCTTGAAAAAAAATTTAGTTCTCGTTAGAAAATGATTTTACCTTTCTTTGCTGCAAGAGTGCTTTTGATGCGGACAGTTTTTTCACTGTGCTCGGTGTAAGCATCATTCACAGTGCAAGATATCGGCATGACAGAGGTTTCATTAATCGATTGGCGATTACTATTGATGGGATGTGCTGATGCTATGTCTTTTGAGGTTTGGTTATCTCCATCCTTTCCTCCTAAATTAATTATGTAATTTAATAGAAATGAATCACTACTTCTAACTTAATTCATTAAGTAAGAAAGGCTGAATATTCCAAATATTTGATTTATTCTTTGATCTATCCCACCATTCTACAATAATATTTATCTGCTTAATGAAAAAGTTATGAAAATATAACTATATGTTTGCATCATCTCACGAAAAAGATACATTAAATCCCTTCGTACATAACGTCCATAGTTGGAAGGTCAATTTTTTAAATCTATTCAAACGATATTAAAACATCTTGATACCCGAAAAAACGGATGAAGTATGATAAAGAGGCGCTGGTGGGTTTGATAATAAAGAGGAAAGCGATGAATTTGACATGACATGCTCTTTTTTGGAAGCTGCATCTCGATAACTTTTACTTAGCGGCAGAACCGCACCTTTGGTTATTTCTGGCAAAAACACGCTTGAAGAAACATCTTCACTAAAACATATGTTCTTTAATTTAGGAATGTATAATATGATTGAAACAAGAAAAAAGGAAG